TATTATAAATGTCTTTACTGTCACTTTTGATCAATTGAATGCATCTATGCTGAATAAAAACATTCATTTAAAAAAAATATATAAAATATATAGCTGTAAGTGTCTCACCATCTGGCAGATGCTAGCGTAACGGGCGAGCACATTGGCGTTCTCAATGATGGCCAGTCTTGAGGGGGTTGTGGGGGTGATCTTCAGCACACACCTCCATTTAGCAAAGTCTGCCCCATCTTTCTTGTACTGAGCGCAGCGCTCGTACAGCCCATCCAGACCTGCGAACGCAGAGACAAATGAGCATTTAATGAGTCATAAGCAAGTGACTGTGACCATTCAGTTCTGGACAAAGTCCATCTAATTCCAGCATTTAAGTGGATACGAAAGGTTATAAAATACCATGTGTAATTTTACTACCCAATAATCTATTTTATAGATAGCGATGGGATTTTCACCTTGTGTGGTGGTCTCTCCATTAGTGCCAGCCAGGGGAACCACACCCTTGTCCACTTTGATGCCAACTACCATGCCCCTCTCCTTAAGGAGCTGGGAGAAGAGTTTGTCATCATCTGTCTTCTGGTAGAGGGTCTCGTGGAAGAGGATGACGCCGCCGATGCAGGGCTTGACGCGGTCGTCTGCGGTGAACAGAAGCTGGCGGTACAGTCTCCTGTTCTCCTCCGTGTTCTCAGCATTGATGCTCTGGAACCGCTTGGCCACGCTACCTGCACAAGAACAAAGATTCGAGATGAAAGATTAGAAGGACCTTAGAATAGGTTACTAACAAACACAAACTGAATGGCTTAAAGTACCTGTAGACTCATCCGCAGCAAGAATGCCTTTGCCAGGGGCGACAATCCTCTGAGCAATATCACTCAGCTCCTTCTTCTGCTCTGGAGTGAGGAATGGGTAAGCGTGAGGCATCTTGACTCTGTGGAGGAAGGTGTGGGAGACAGAGAGACATTTATATGATCTCTGAGATTAAATTATTCAGAATACCAGTACAAACACATGAATCACACTACAAAAACATTCCCCTAAGACCAAGTAATGAATCAGGTGACTGTTAAATCAACACCAAAGAGTCTGAGCAAGGGTTCAAATATGGGTGTGTACTTAAATCGTAAACCTTACTAAAAGCACTGATTTTTCTTTCTTCTAACCACCTTTTTGTTAGCTAGTTCTCGACGAGTTTGGATGCACATGTCCTTGAGATACAAACACGTATGACCTTGTGCGGCTCACGTAACTGTTATTTTTGCATGACAACTGAAGAGACTAACGTTAGCGAAAAGCTAGCATCGTTCAGATGTTTGTTTTACTTGGTTGTCGGCGTTTTATATATAAAAAAAAAACTCACCTATTAAATGGACGTTAAGGAAGCGATTGTTTCCGAAACACACTTTCAGCGTAGCCACGTTATTCTGCGGTTGCAATAAGATGCAATATAGGAAGGAAATTATTAAGCAATTTTACAGGAGGATAGCTGGACCAATCAGCACGCGAGCCTTGTTTTGATTGACAGGGCGAAGAGACGATGATTGGCTGCTGTGCTTTGGAAGGCGGGTTTAAGAGTGACGCAACAATAGGGGAGTGGTTTTATTACAATTAGAGGCGGG